CCCGCCCACTCCAATGTCCTCCAAGTATACGCCGTCAAGGATTGGGGGCCTCGAGCCTTGAACGCCTCTGAGCCTCCAGGCCTTTGCAACGCACCATCAAGTGGAGAGGAGTTTCATCCTCCTCCCCACATCTCGGACATCCAGGTTCTCGTTCCATGCCTAGGTGCGTCAGGTGTTTCCTCGTGTACCAGTGCCCAGTGATGAGCCCCACGAGTAAACGTAGCTGGTTTCTTTCTAGGCAGCTTAGGGTCCTGCTTAGCAGCGTTGATGGCCTTCTGAGCAGGGCCTTAGTGTGCCTCATGCCTTGAGTTCGGCTCTAGATCTGGTGGGTTTGGGTTCTCACCCACGCCTTCACCATTTCTTTTACCGTCCCCATGGAGACACCTATATAGTGCGATGTAACTGGGTCGGGCCGCATGGCTCCTTCCCGTGCCAACATATTCGCCTTTTCATTTCCTAGTATTCTTGCGTGTCCAGGAACCCAGATCAGATTGACACGGTTATTGTTCCCAACTAGCCGTTCTAGTATATCAGTGCAGTCCTGTACCAGCCTGGATCTCACTACCGTGGCTCGGAGGGATCCAAGCGCAGCCTTGCTGTCACTGCAGATATAGATGTGCTTGTCCCTATAGCCCCGGTCCAGAATTAATTTGGCACAGGCCCAGATGGCAAACATTTCTGCCTGAATAATCGATGCTGACCCAGGGATAGTTCCACCCTGGGCCTCTCCCCCTAAATCCCCGATCCGGTTCCAAGTTTGGTATTAGAGCCGTCTGTATACCAGATCAGCCCTCCCAGAATGAGGATTTCCTTCCGGTTCACCTCCCACGCTTCCTTGCATGGAAGTCTTACCCGGAAGTTATGTTTGAAGTGATAGATCGGTTGGCACATGTCTCCTCTCAGTGTCAAAGCCCCGCTTGGTTCTCCGAACTCCCTGAGTATTGACGCGTGCCCCGTTTCCGCCCCCTTCCATTTTCTTGCTACATGCAGCCTCATAGCTGCACTTCTGGCCCCGGCTTCTACTATAATATGTGATGGTGCCACATATGATCCATGAGTGCCTCCATTGCCAGGGTCGGTGTGGTGCGGAAGACACCTGTCATCCCAAGCAACGCTAATCGGTAAATCTTTTCCAATGTCTTCCTGTTGCAGTGGTTCCTCATAGAGGTCCATCGTACAACAGAGACTTACGTTAGATGGGATACCATGATCGCGGTGTAAATCCACCTGACCACTCTTGATTTTATACCCCACGTTACTCCAAACATCCTTCTACAAGCCTAGTAAGTTGAGATAAGCAAGTTAACTTCGTGTCTAGGGTAACCCCTAGGTATTTTACTGAGGTGGATATATCAAGCTCCACTCCGAACGAAGAGGGGGCCCTGGATTCAAAGCGCCGTTTCCTCGAGAACGGTACTATCTCTATCTTGGTTAGGTTCACCTTCAGCTTATATGATAGGCACCATTCCTGCACGAGTATGAGTGCTTCTTGTAATCTCAAATGTCATCCGCATACTCCTGCACCAGGACTCCTTCCTCGCTTAGGGGAGAGAGAACTCCCCCCTGCCGGCATCCCTTTGCGATCCGTGCCCTCAACGCAGTCTCGCCGGAATAAGTTATTATAGTCCTAGTTCGCAAGATATTGTCGATCTAGGTACCCAAGCTATTGTCAATGCCAAAACTGCTAACAGCTTCGCACATCACGTCAAAGGGTGTACTGTCGAACGCCCTTTCTATGTCTATGAACACGCTCCTCAATCTCCCTTACCAGATGATGGAGCGCCGTCTCTACGGATTTGCCAGCCTGATAGGCATGTTGCGAGGCACGTACCGGTCTCCTCACCAGTGTATGCTCTCTTATGTACCTGTCCACCAATCTTTCCAGCGTTTTAAGCCAAAAGAATGTTAGGCTGACTGGCCTATAGGATGCGCATTCGCGTCGCACCCTATCACTAGTTGCAGCCTTTTAGTCTTGCAGTAGTCTACCAGCCCCCTGAGTTCCCTCGAAGATGGAGGTACCTCAAAGTCGTAGGGTAGGTAAGCCGAGCAAACCACCACATTCGCCCTGTACCCGCCACCCCGGGTGTCAGTAACACTGCTGTCTGGTCTCTTGTGTAGAATTCTGCCAGTTTTGTGACCCCGAGTCCTCTTTTTACGAAGACGCTCGCCCTAGGACCGAATTTTAGGTCCCCATGAAAGATGGAGCCTTGTTTTAAATCCAGCCCGCCCACATGCCCTTGGTGTATCCAAGGTTCCTGTATTAGGGCAATATCTATATTTTTATTAATATCTGTGTGCTGCACTGCTAGACGCCAACGGAGCAAATCCGTGGCTGCTTTGCAGTGCTGCAAGTTAATTTGCGAGATAGAGAAACATCCTGCAGCCAAAAAGGCTGCAGTATTGCTCTCCCTCGCGTGTACCTCACTGGTGCTTAATGTGCCCTTGCTCTAGCCCATTATTTGCCCCCGTGCTTTACTGGGGGGGGGGGGGGGAGGCTCCCGATTTACCCCCATACCTTTGTCCTGCTCGGCTACCCGTAGTGCCGAACACCCAGGCCTTCGGAGGTCTGCCCCTTGGTCCCCTTCCGGTGAGCCCCTGACTTCTCGTTTCCGTTGGGGTAGCCGTTCCGCCCCTGGGTCCCTGGTCCCTACCCCAGTTTTGGCCGGGCCCTTCCCTCCGTTCTCGCTTTCCAGCAGTCCTCCACCCCCAAACAACCTCGGGGTAGCAGAGACCACCTCGGTCCCCGCGGGTACAGATACTGGCTCCGCATCCTCGGTCCAGGTGTTACCACCACTCCCCGTGGTCGCTGGAGGCCTCGTGCCGCCGTCCTTGGCGGTGCCCGATGCTCCTGTCGGTTCTTCCCTACCCCGTCGGACCGTGCACGTGGCTCCCTAAAGAAAACCCTGCTACGAAGCCCCAACCACGAGGACCTTGAAGGACTCACCTCGACTCCTAGGACCATCTTCACTAACCTTGTTTCTTCTTTCCGGTCCCATACCCTCCATAGTTGGGTAATGAATCTCGGATTTTGCCTCCTCAGTCGGCTCAAAATCACCCCCGTCGTCGCCGGTGGCCAGGGATGATTGTAATGAGTTTGTGGAGCCTTGGTAGGCACTCCCTCTCCATTACCTGAAGAGATGCGCCCTCCTGAGGCTTCACCTTTCCTGCTGTGTCCCTAAGCCATGCCCTGGCCGTGTCGTCCGAGCAGGTGAAGCACCCAAAGCACCCCCTACTCCTGCCTGTTTCCCTCGAAGCGTTGGACCTCCTTACTCTCCGACATCGAGTCCAACTTCGCTTCAAGGGCCCTCAGGTCAAGATCCCCCTGCTCCGAGCTCAGGGTGGTCTCGGGATAGTTTGAAAGAGCAATCGCTACCTTTTTGCCCGTCATGAGAGCCTCCCTGTACCCAGATGGGTCCGGGAAGATCTGACCCCTTTTGGCCCTTTTGAGCCCCGCAGCCCCCGCGTCCCCTCGATTCCTTTGACCTGTCCAGATGGTCGCGACTTTCCCATCTCCTGGAACCGTCCCGTCCCCTGGTACTACCTGGAGGGAAGACTCCTCCGAGGAGATTCCGGTGGCCAGTTTGGCCCCCTGGGCCCACCTGTTCGCCGCCCTACTACGGTTCGCCCTCTTCCCCTTATCCTGAGTTTCCGACGTGGGCTCAATATTGCGCCCTCGTCCGTCCCCAGCTTCACGACATTTGCCAGGAAGAGCCCTTCCTCAGCTGCCGTAGCTAGTCTCGGAGCTGCCTCGGCCAGTCCCTCAACACCGACGTTCGTCGCCCCTGAAGAGAGAGGTCCCTCATTTGAAGGCTCCTCCTCTTTGTTCATGCCTGAGTCATCGTTTGTTTTTAAACTAAATGGGTCCATAGATGTTCCCACGAGTAGGCAGGAAAGGGCGGTCCGCCCTCGCAGAGCCTGCTATACGAGGATAAGGGTAATACATTATCCTGGTGTCATCCAGCCCTCGGCACGATTAATTTATTTAATACTTATTTAATATTAATTTAAATAATAATTTTTAATTAATAATTGTTATTGTAATTATTATTTTTATATAAAAATACGAATAGTTCTTGGAAAAGTTCAAAAGCCTCAGAATCAAGTATCGTAGCTCCAAAGAATATTCACGTTCTGTCACAACGAGTTCAAAGAAAGCAGACACAAAAGACCAGAAGGAGAAAAGAAGTTTCTTAACATAAGCCAAAAGAAAGAGCTAATAATAAAAATAACGCCAGCCGGAAGTGGGTTCGTGCTTCAATGATTAAACGACTTGCTTGGTTCTCCCTTTTATGGCATTTCATTGTTTCTTGGCTCGTCTGTAAACCACGGAACTTCCTACGAAAGAAGGGCGTCATTTTCTTTTTTCTCTCTCTTTTCAGTTTATCAAACAATAACACTCGACGAGAAGTAACTTTCGTGCAAACACTCGTTGCCTTTTCCTCTTTGCCCTTTCTCCGCTTCTCTTTCGTTTCCTGCCTACCACTTCGTCATTGGCGCCTTTATGATTCTTCTTCGCCGAAACCACGATACGTTCGTGACCCTTGTTTCGTCGAGTTACCATTTCCCGTTCTCGCTTCAATTCGATAAACAGAGTCGAGCCGTATTTTCCGCTTGGAATTTGGTGAGTTTTCAGTTTCCGCTTGCTTTGTATTTCGTTGTGAAATTCTGCGGCCATAAAGTTTAATTAACGAGCTCTGGAATTTTTGTACCATCGACCTAGGAAGTTTGTTTATTTTTTGAAGAAAATCAAAGCTTTTGTAGTTGATGAATATAACTTTCTGTGTTAAAAATTTGACGTACGGAGTGGGTGAATGTGAAGTAACAAGGGTGGTAGGGTGTTTCATTCACAATTGTCTGGATTAAACCACGCGTGTGACGGCGGCTAACCGGCCCCAGGAACACTTGAAACCGCTCCCTTTCGCGCTTTTATAGCGGGGAGTGAGGGGTCGAGGGTCGAGGGTCGAGGGCCGAGGGTAGGCCAAACAATGAAGAAGCCGGTACGTGGCTCGTCTCAAAGCGCAGAATGCATCCGATGAGCTCGACTCGTGGGAACCGTGGCTACTTGCGCCCGGAAGGATTGACTTTGGCCAAGAGGTGAGAGGTCAGGGGTTGCCGTCGAGGAGGAAGAGAAGAAGAAAAAGAAGAAGAAGAAGAAGAAGAAGGGTGGAGAGAAAGAGCAAACGATCCCCTGGGTGCGCGTTTAAACCTTTTCACGGGCATTTCCGTGGAAGCCACTTTTGTCCTGCTCCGACAAATTCGAACTATGCGAGTTTCTTTTCCCTCGAAACCCCTCGAAACACTCTGCATAAAGTCGAAACTGAGATGCTTGGAAATTTCGAAAGAATTTCGAGACACTGAATTATAAAGCAGTTGGTATTATTTTGTGGACGAAATTATTAATAATTTAACAAAAGTGTAGTAAGACATGTTGAAATATTAATTATTAACACTAGATTTACGGATATTGATTATATAGGGGTGACCGGGGCTAGTTAAGATAAACGCTAATTGATATATTTTAATTTTTAAAAATACCTCTTCTCGTATAAAATAAAAAACGCGTCAGCATATGTTGCACGGTGACGTGTGCAACTTCACTTTAGAAATTTCTCATTATATATCGTATTTTGGATATGGTTCATGGACATTTTAAGATTTCTGCCAATGAAAGTTAAAAAAAAAATGTTTGAGTTTGAATGAACATATCTCGTATATCGTTCGAGGTAAGTAAATAATATATATAACATTTTGTAGACAGGTTCATTATTAATACATTGTAATGGGCTTATACACATAATCTACAACTAATTTTAACCTTAAAATCGCAAATTAAAAAATATGTACATTACAGGAGGGGCATGTTGATACATGTGATTTGGGGCACATTGAGACAGCGTATCAACATGCCCCTGGGTACCAATTTATTTATAATTTCTTTTTTTCAATAAGTTGTAAAACGAAATAATGGGAAAAAAAGAAAATCTGCTATATTGACGGACACTCCTGAAAAAGAAGCCTTTAGTCACGAAGAACAAAAAAAGATGTTAAAAAAACTGAAATTGAGAAAAAAGGTATAAGGAAAGGACTTACGTCCCAATTTTGTAATAAAAATAACAAAAATAAAAAGTAAAGAATGTTGTAACCCTTTAGCATTCTATTTTCTGCTTCTAAAGATTAATATATTAATACTATTTGTTAAATCAGAAGAATATATCATACTTTGTATTTTATATCTGTTTAGTTTAAAGATAAATTGATCGCATCAACTTGCCTCGCTTCAGTATCAACTAGTCCCAGCTATTGGGCAATTTGAGACACGAGACACGTTACCTATAAAATGCTTTTCTTGAGTACAAATTTAAAAATTGATAAATAGAAACGAAATTAGCAGTTGTAGGACGAATCAAAGAATTGCAGGTTAAAGTAATAGTTCCATAAAGTAAGCAATTTCGAAATTATAAATTACAAACTGAAATATGTCTCAACTAGTCCCGGTATCCCCTAACTTTTTTTTACAGAAATCCGTCCTTTTGATGGGTATATTAAAATGCAATTTTTTTGTAAATTATTTATTTAAAATTTATAGATTTTTATTTACTGCTGTCTTCAATACATTTTTTACATGTAAACTCTATCTTGGAAGTACACTTTCCGCATACATACTTGTTACATTTATTTGTGTAGGATGCCGGCGGAAAAATTATAATGTTTCGTCTCGGGTACCGTCTACTAGAACTCGTCAGTGGGACTGACGTGGACGGTCCCTACCCCAGACGCCTGGGTTCATTATTCACAATTGTAAACAACTAGTTCAAACTTGTTTGCCCATGTATTTATTGCTAAACAGCCGCCATTTGCTTGGTGTTGTTTTTTCTTATTCATTGTTATTTCGCAATAATTGATCTATATAAATTAACCCGTCAAATTGAGGGATTTTCGTAAAAATAGGTATACACCATCGAGAAATAATAAAATATAGGTGTTCTAAAGAAAACGAGTAGAAATATATGTCACTAAAAACCAATATGCAATGTCTAAAGAATAATATTTGCTTGTTCAGAATTTTTAAGCATCAAATCGACAACTCGTCAAATTGACGGGTTCCGTAAATCTAGTGTTAAGATAATTATTAATTTTCAAGTTTAAGTTTTTATATTGGTAGCCTGCTTTATCGGTATAATATTAAACTTTTCACTAAGATTATCTCTTATAATAAATTATCTAACCCATCAAATAAAATAATTTTATTTACAATGAGAAATTTTCATGGATATTTTTAATTCTGAAAAAAGAAACGATGAAACATTGTATTCCTGAAGTAATTTGAATGGGAATCTAAAATCCGATTCGTCTCCGAAACGTCTGAAACTTGTTCCTCGTTACGTTGTTCTGGATGGCAAATTATCCTTGGATTATTAATGCGACAAGTCTCGCGTGTCCACGGAATTAATAGCCTGTTTAGAATATTAATTTCTAAGGAAGTATCAGAACGCAAGCCCAAATACATCTGGACCGTCGCATCCCTCTAATGTAACTATTAATCTTACGGGTATAAGCGTACATGTGCAACCGGACTCCGTGCTACAAAGGGCAAAACCTTGATACCCATTACTTGTCCCGCTGTATTTCACATCCTGCTCCGTTGCCAGCCTTGTATTCGAGCCTCTGGATTGTTGTAACGGTGACGAGGTATGTACTTCGTTTTAAGACAAACTGTCTCCTGAAAAGTGTTTAAGTTGTTGAGCAACAGGTATGCTTTATTGTACTTGATGCAAATTTTCAATAACTTTTTACGTGATACTGGAAAGTATATGTAACACTATCTAATAAAAATACATAATTATCAAAGAGTAAAAATCATGAATCGCTTCTAAGAAACAGTCTATAAGAATATCCTTAGTGAAGTACACCTTAGTAGAAATTAAATTTGAAATTAATTTTCAAAAATTTACTACACCCATTTATAGCGCCAGATTAAGAGAAGGTCTAAGGGCTACAGTTCCGCGCTCCATCCTCCGGAGATCCTTGTTATAAGCCTTCCATTTACTACATTCAAAAGCATTCAATAAAGTTTTTTTTTAATTGTTGCTCTATTTAGCAACCGAAGGAAGCCTCAAAGGTTTGATATCTCCGGGCGCCGCGCCCTAAACATTTTAATCCAGTCCTATCCATTTATATACATATATCCGCTATAATAATAATAATAATAATAATAATAGTAATAATAATAATTTAACAAAATGTTTTATCGTTTCTCTCAAATACTAATGCTAATCTGCTGAAAATCTAACTTCTTTAATTAAAGCAATCCAACTACGTTACAATGACACAGAACCTAAAAAGAAAAGAGAAAGAATTTGATTCAGTCGATTCAGAAGTTCTTTAGTTAGCAAAAAATAATTCGCGAGACGATCAAGCATAGAAAAATCGGGTAGCCGGAAGCATCGTCAGCCTTAATTGCGGTCCGGAAACCAGGATGACGTCACATCTGGTCCGTTCGCTACTTAAACACAGCCCCTGGTCCGTTTCGTAGCCACGCCATCCCACCGGAAGCCGTGAACCAAGGGGGTAGGGGTGTGGCGTAGTTCGTGAATTTATACGGCGTTTAACCCGGTTTAAACTTTGGCACTTAAATTAAACAATAGAACAAACCGCGCCTCCGCACCGCGCCGAGTCGAACGTACGTCTTCGACTGAGCTTCCTCTGTCCTTTTCCTTCCGACATTTCAACCTACCCTTTCCCCTCTTTCCCGCGTTTTCAACCTCCTGATTCTAGCCGGGAAACGTCTACGCGGAATTACATTGTCAGACGTCGGATAGCGTTATTTCGCAATCGAGAGCTCACGTTTGAAGAGAATCCTAATTCTAGACGAACGGCACGATCCGTCTGGACTTCCGGCCGCGGTTCGTTCCGAATATGTGGGAATACCGATAGAAAGTTTCGAAATATCTCTGACCTGATTGGTGCAGTTTGGTTTATTGACTTTACGGACCATTAACTGATTTGGCCAACAATTTTATTGGCCAGGAAATAACAGTAATAAATTGGTATAAAGTTATTGTAAAATAACAATATTCAACACGTTGACTGTTGCTTCAGCGTTGAAGTTGTTGACGATTTTCGTTTTATGAAAATTTAATTTTTCATTTTTACAGTATTTCCTTTTTTTATTATTTATAATTACAAGGAGGGTTGCGTTTAATTCTAACAGTAAGCGAAATAGGCAGGTGCCCAAGATAAAAGGAGGAATCCACATCAAAGTGCTTGTCATTAGTGAATAAAATAAATACCTATCTCTGTTGGCCTTGACTTTTAAATTTAAAAATATATCTAAGGAGGGCCCCGATTTTCATTTGTTCGCCTAGGACCTAGAGCCTGAAAAGCTCTAGACGCGGCCCTAATTACAAGTAGCTAATACAAATATTTCTAATTAGAGAGATTGAAGCATTTCTAGACGTATAATAATATGAGTGATGGATTTTAACGGGGGCTTTTGGCTTTCGTCATAGGAGAAATTATGAAACGGTGTAGAATGAAATGATGAATAATGAAACTGGAAGTATTGTATTGATTCGGGAGTATCGAAGACTGTTGATTGACGTATCCTGTCCCGAAATAGAATTCAATTTGTGTAGAATTCGATATGCAATGATGGCGGCTGTTTTGTTGTTAGCAACAATTACGGGGTTGAGATTGAGTCTGATATTACCGAGTTTAACAAAATGAATGTATGTAATTACACATCATGAAGATATGCTGATTGCGTGATGTAAATGAAGTGTAATTTAATAGCATAAACCAAATTTTATTGTAAACATTATTATTACAATATGATACATTTAATATTTTTATCATGGTATCGTTAGAAAGGTGTTTATTTTTAAATTATTCAAAATAACTGAACTAAGTGTTAAATTAAGATAAGACTGTTCATTTTGATTATTATAAAAAAAAAGTAGAGATTAATACATATTTAAATGAAAGAAAATATAATGCACTCGCATCGCTCGTATGGCTACTAGAGAACTGCGTCACGCCATAAAACATAAAAGATCGCTAGCAAAAGAAGGTGAGCTGATAGATGGCCTTACACTATAAACGTGAATATAGATGTACCCACTTAACACCAAGTTATATTTCTAAAATGATAGATATAAAATAGAAAGAAATGTCAGTAGGAATAATGAAATGATGTTTAATGAAGGATCATGTACTTTTCGTATATTTCAATTGTATATTTTTCTAAATTTCATTTGATGCATCTAGTTATTCTCTATAAAAAAGTATTAAGGTTACTTGGGTCGAAAATTCATCAGTTTAGAATTGAAAAATATCTTAAGGGGAGACTACTAGGTTCCCCCTATCAGTCCCTTAAATATCTTTTCAACTATTCAATTGTCGATTCAAGTGTCCTAATACCTTTTTGAAGAGAATAAAAAACACTTCAGTTGATATATGTATAACAAAATACACGGTTCCCTTAAAAAGAAAGAAAAGAAAATGAAGACGACCTTGAAATATTTAATTTTGTCTCGTGTAATTTTTTTTTATTTTCTACCATTTTAGAAATATAATAAAGATGGACCAGTCGCATGGGACACCCTGTATAGTGAAGTAAAATTCTTTCTCTAGCAAGTGGTAAATTATTTACTGTTTACTGTTTACCATTTGCTTGGAAGCTCTGTTCATATCCTTTTGTATCCCTGTCTTGTTATGCTTCATTCTATTCTATTTCATCCCTTATATGTATCCATTCTATTCGCTCGGGTGGAAATTCATGGTCCATTGAGTTCCCCTTATTTCTGACCACACGCGCTGCTGTTCCTCTGAACGTCCGTCTGAATTCTCATGGACCTGTTTCACTTACTATTAGTCCAAAATCCCATCGATGTATTTTTGAACAGCGGAACCAAAATTAATGTAATCTTAATCATGAAATTAAATTCCTGAGTAAGCAATAATTTTCTTTTTAACAATTCTAAATTAAATAACTATCGATTATTTTCCGAAATTCATCTTCATAGCGAACAAGGAATTCGCTCTCATCTGTTCAGAGCGAACTTTCCTTTGATCGTGGAAAACTTCTGTCGGTCGCATTAATCACCGATGCACCGATGAAGTTCGAGACGCGTCTCACGAGCTAGCCGGTTTCCGCGGACCGTCCTCCGTGAATCTTCCACTTCCGGCGGGAACAAAACGGCCGAAGCATAGTCAGAATTCGCGATGACGATTGTTCGCCTGCTACGACTTTCTTAGACGGTTTTCGTGGAAAGGGGATGAACTTTGAGTTTCAACGAAAGAACGACGCCTTTTGTGTAGACTGGAACCTCGCAGAATCGCCTCGCGAGTCTTCTTCCGGCTCTCATCGATCCGACTTCCGACTTGGAAAATGGAAAGGGAAAAAAAGGGAAGTGACGCGATTCGAGGAACGAGGGAGACATTTATGAATTGAAGTTCGAAAGTAACACTTGGAAGACTGATTATAATAAATGATATAAATAATATAATGAAATATCATTTTTTCCAAAAATAAAAGTCTATAAATCCTACCAAGTTTCCTTGAAACTATTCATCGGTTCGAAATTAATAGCAAAGGTTCCTTGATTTATTTTAAAGAATAATTTAGAAATATTTCCTTCAAAATCGATCTAGAATAATTTACAAGGCACAAAACCTGTCATAAAATCGAAGATCAAGACAGAGAAAAAGAGGTAAGCGGGCGTCGAAGCGGAAACTGCGGCACGTTTAATGGAAGGCAGACGAAACTAGCCGGAAAAGAGCCCGTGGGACGGAAATCTATTGCAAAATAATAAGTTATCCGTGGAGCGACTTTTGCCGACGTGTCGTCCGTGGTTACCTTTTCCCTGAGGTTACCTCATTATTTCTAACTGATGATACCATAATTCAACATCTCGCGACGTACAAGAAAATCGACTTTCTACCTACGTATTTAGGTATAGCCCGATATGAGTCCAATCCTTGCTATGTCGATCTACAAATTATTGACCTAATCAATTATTTTACCAAGACAAGTATAGGTATTTTTGTATTTTTGTATTTTTATCATTTGAGAATCAACTGACAAATTTTATTTTCATATCAATAAAAAATTAAGATAGATCAATTTTTTGAGACATTTCCGAATCTAAATTATTTGAATTATCTGATTGTGAGATAAAGTTTAACAATTTTTTCGAACATTACAAATTTAAATAACCTAAATAACTGAAAGTGAATAGCCAATTACACAGGGCCTTGAAAACCTTCAAAATCTCTGATATGCTGATGGTGTACTAATTAGAAGCTTTGCTGTGCGGGAAAGAGCGAGGATGAGAATTCAAGATAGAGTCACGCGGCAGGTAATTTTGGAAACAGGATGAAATTTGGTAAAGCCTTGACCGTGTACCAGCTCATCTCCTGGTCTTACCGAGGCCGACACGAAATTAACGCTTTGTATGCGACTGAAAACTGTGTGACATACCGCCAAGTCCCGTGATGCACAGGTCGGTTCATTAACTTCGTTATAAAGGAATGCTTTTTTTTCTCCGCAACGACCTCGTGGTATTGCTATAATTTCTCGTTCAGCCTCGTTACTTAAAAAGGTACGTCGTTAAACACGAGTGTTTGAGATTTTGAATGGTTTATGTGTCAAATAGGGTCATTATTTTATTCTATTTAATCGTTATTTTACATGATTAATGTATTTTACTTTGTTGATGTATTTGTGTTCGGTAATATATCATTTTTCGAGACCAGAACCTGGCACCCGACTTTGAAAAATTCAATTTCTTCAAATTGTATTGTATTCCCCTGTACGTACCACCTTTACTTTCATTTGTACCCCAAAGAGTGAAAAGATATAAGGGGGCGAAAATACCTTAGCACCCCACTTTAACATTTTTTAATTCTCTCAACGCTGTAAAAAAAAGAAACGTTTGTATCCGTTTGTACCACCTTCAGTTTCGTTTGTACCCCAAGGGGTTCGTTTGTACCGATTTCTGAAACTGACCCCAAGGCTGACCGCCATTTTTGAAAATTTTTTATATTAATCACATAATTTGAAAAATCTTCAAAAAAGGTGAAGTTACCTCTTGGGATCATTTTCAAAAATCGGTACAAACGAACGTGAAGGTGGTACAAACGGGTACAAATGTTTCTTTTCTTTATGGCGTTGAGAGAATTAAAAAATGTTAAAGTGTGGTGCTAAGGTATTTTCACCCCTTGGGGTACATACAAACGAAAGTGAAGGTGGTACAAACGGGTACAAACGAAGGAGAATACAATACAATTTGACGAAATTGAATTTTTCAAAGTCGGATGCCAGGTTCAAGTAGTATGATTTTTCACACTTACTTTAAATTTTTAAGTTGGAAGTGTTGAAAATTGGATGTAATTTTTTGGGCCTCCTTGTGTTCTGGGCAAACTTTTGAACTTGAATTTCCGTCCGAATCTACAAAAGTTCCAATCCGAACTCTCGACTCGAATTTTCGGGTACCCCCACACCCCTAATACATATCAAATTATTAAAGTTTACAATCAATGCTCAATACCAAATATTTTACTAAATGATATTAAATACTTCATTATAATAACCAAGAACATTATTATACTTGATTAATTTCGTTCTGAAATTGCTGAAAATATATTAATAAAATGAAACAATTCTGCTATTATTTCAAAGTTTACAAAATACCGGTCAGCTTCGCAATTATAATAAACGTTCGATTAAAATATCAATCAAAAGTGAGTGAAATCGATCGAGAAAGATTTATTGAAAATACTTTAATCGCTCATTAATTTTCGGTCGAATTACAAAACACCGGCTAGAAGCTGGTGCTGTAGTTTTATACGGGTGATCGTAATTCAATGAACGGTTGTTCGACTGAAATTTTACCAGGAACGATGGTGATTTAAATGAAAATGATTTGCGCGGAAAACGTAATACAGGATAATTGCGTTCCGTGCGAAACTTAATAGAGTTACGCTATTTTAATTGTATATTGCGTTTTCCTCTTTTGCTTATCAGCTTTTTATTCAATTACTATTTTTTAATTCTTTTTCCACTTTCATGGAGAAAATACACCTACTACTAATTGTATAATAAACATTCTGTGTTTATCGGATCATAAATTTAAATTAAGAAAATTTTCATAGAAAACATGGTAAAAAGTTCTATTTGAAACAGATTGGTATGATTTTCAGTCAGTTTTGATTGAACTGAGACGTACAAAAAATAAAATGACTTCTATGAATTTCATTTCCAGGTTTCTGGACATTTACACAACACTGGTCAGTTCCTGGTATTCAGAGCCGATCGAGAAGCAAAAGTTCGGGTCAACATAACGGGTGGTCCACTCGCTTATCATTATCAGTTCGAAGAAATTTACATTCACTATGGAATGGACAACGATCATGGGTCCGAGCATCGTATCAATAATTATGCATTTCCTGCTGAGGTGAGTGAAATACTTCATTATTGCGATAATAATAACTCAATAAATTCAATGCGCTTGCAATTGTTCTACATATATCTGAAGTGTTAGAATATCTATAATAATAATTCCAAAATAATAGATTTCTTTCAATTATTCAAAATTTATTAGTAATCTTTGAACGGTGAACAACTGACAGTAACACTTAAAATTAAAAATTTTAAATTTCTTTATTTCTATCTTCCAAACTTTAACCCTTTGAAGACAAATTTTTAATACTAATCTTATTCTCAATTTTTATCTAAAATTTCAAGATTCTAAAATTAAAATATTAGCTAATTAGAAAATTGGGAAATCAAAAGAGTAAAAAATCAGGATGTTAGGAAATTAAAAAAAATAGAAGAATAGAAAATTTTACAGCTCTAACAAGATACTACAACTCAATAGATCTTGAAAACAAGTGCAGCAGTCAAGCCCGGCTCAAAGCACGCTCCTTCGCGGTCCAACAAATAAAAATTTCACTTTGTGCAATATTTCGAAATTATTTATTAAGATATAATTTGTTCACGAATAAGATATTCATATATTGTTTCTGTAGTAAGGCACATTCCAATTCATATGAATCCGTTTAACAAAACAATTAAATTCAGACATTATAACTTAAAGGTCTATGCATCGCAATTTAAGAATTTGATTATGACATTAAAGAATGGAAGAAACTTGAAATGATGAAAAGTTCGAATTGCGCATGCGTGAATTTAAGAATTCAATAATAGAAGTATATGACCCTTATTCAAAATCTGACAGACACACAAAAGTCGTGACATAAGCACACTCAATGAAGCGTGCTAAAAGATATCGGTACCGGTACATACACATGTGTACCAGGAGTTTTTAAAGGGTTTAACTATTTTTTATCCTTTCTTTAATAAAAATTTTACTAAGAATGTTTAAAATCAATTTGTTCAATTTGTTCCGTAGAAACAAAGCAAAACTTTATATTTTATAATTTTATTGCTTTCTTTTATTACAAAATGTTGTGTTACATTAATGACTGTTAGAATTGATTCATTTTTCATACAATGATCCTTTGAAATGATCAGCAACAGGCAAAACAAGCATATTTACCAGTAATATTGATCGATGTTACGAATCAGTGGATATGAAATTGCCTCGATTCGAAGTCAGTTTCGAATTCAATGCATTCGAGGAGTAACACGGAATCGGGTTCGTTGCAGATCGTATTAGACTCAGATGACTTTACATTACGAAATAAAGGAACTAATTGATTTTTTATAATGTTCTAATTGTAAGTACCTACTCAACCCTTTCGTTATCGCGCATTTTAATTAAATATCGTTCACTGTATACCAAATAACAATAAAAATTCGATGCTTGAAATTTTATGAATAAATTATTCAAAGATTTTTACATATTGGAAAATTGATATGTAAATTAATAATGAAAGTAAAAAAGAATCTAAAATTAAATTTAAATTGTTGTAATCATTCAAAGATTAATATATGTTTGACTTAGGAAATAAACAATTCGTTTTTTCTTTCAAAGTTTGTGAAAATCGATAAATATACCTATCTCCTGTGTTTCCACAATACCGGAATTTGTAATTACTGCTCGAATATATCGTAAAACGATGAAAGGCTGCGCGAAATACAACTGAATTACTAATTTTATCTCTGGAAATCATATGCAGAATTGAATATCCATTGTTCAGCAAAATTGTATCAAAAAATAAATCTCTTTTGTATCACTCTGTCCTTTGAAAGTATCGAAACAGAAAAGTGAAAAGGGATGAGTCGAATGAAATTAACGAGATAATGCTTTTACAGTAGCACAGAAAAATTATTCCCCGAGTCAGGAATTAAAAAGGCTCTGAATTTTTTATCATGTCGATATTGACCATTTAGCATTGAAAATTCGCCGTAAAAGTTTTTCGTCTTTAATTATACATATAGATATTAACGCGAGCTCGTTTCGACAAGGATCATTTTTTGTGACCTTACGTCAAACCTATTCGTCAAACGAAATATAAAATTTACAGGCACGACTCTGTGCCATTTACATCATTTTGTCCCTCAAAATATAATATCTGATAGATTTTTAACTTGAATTTTTAACAATCAATCACATTTAATCGTATAATTTTTACAATTAATCCTCTCGGTCATTTCAAATTAGGTATTTTTAATACTAGAACTACCGACAGTTAATTCACACTTATTTTTAAGTTGAAAATAATGTAGAAAATTAAGTAGATAAGGAATGAAACATAATTCAATATATACATTCATTCTTTACCTCGACAATAGCCAATATACATTTCAACAAAAATACCTCAATAAAATTTATAACTTAAAATCCGAAATTTAAAACCAGTTATTTTTAGTGGTTTGGTAGTTCTAGTTAAAGAACTGAAATTTATCCCATCTGTTTGTGAACATTCTGCATATGGAGCTTTCTTTTCTACATTATCATTTTGTTCAGCGATATCCAGGGAGTAGGGGGAAGTTGCCGATATCGTACTAGTCTCCTAAATCGTACCACATTCATATTTTGCTTAATGTTGAATGGCGGTACCAGCTAGCAACATCTTTTATAAGCTAAGACATATATATTCCTATAAAACCTTAAATAGCGTATCAAAATCAATTACAGTAGCTGTTCTAACAAATTTGAAAAAGCAGATCAGCCTAATGTAAAATAACAACTGCTTTCAAAATGCAGTTAACGTTGTCCACAGGTTATTTAAATGATATTTTATAAAATTGCTCAGCTAAATTCTTCAACAGACATACCAGAGCTTCATATTATGCATAATATCTTAAGTGGTACGATTTCGGCAACTTCCCCCTATATTATTACCAAAATTGAAAGATTAAATTTTACATTGAGGCACATCAAATTATTGTCTTTTTTATATATTTTAATATTATTAGACTAGAAAAATTTAAGAATATAGTTTTTTATTCTAGGATTTCATCCGTTTAAAAGTTACGCATATGTATAATAAAACTGAACATTTTGATTTTACTTTTGACTGTTTTGGTTTGACGTCATCCCGACTTGTATCTATGATCTGATTGGTCCGCGAAAACGTGCATTAATTTACTGCCAAAAAAAAGTTAACCTAACACGTGCAAAATAAAGTTCAGCTCATTGAAATATTATTAATATTGCTAAATTATTAATGATGCAATTATAAACTGAATCGTTTTGAAAAAATGTAAAATATTTTTCAATGTTTTGAATTAAAGATTCTTTTCTTTATGTATGAATTTTATTATGAAATAATAGACACTTTATCAATAACACGAGAAACGAAGAGGTCCAAAGATAATTATGAAAATCCATTAACAGAGAGTTGACAAGGTTCATCAGCGAATCATGGACAAGGTTAAGAGCATAACGAGAACGCCGGTTGGCGGGTCCAACGACGACGACGACGTAGTTAATCAAAATTAATCACGGGCCGGCTTCCTAACGAGACAAATTAAACATTCGTTAAACGCGACGTGACGATGACCCAATTAACTGCGGCCTGTTCATCCTTCCGGCAAGCAAACCCTCTCCACACGCGACCCACTTTTCGTGGACGTCAACGGGCCGAGAAAGAACATCGTGCGTGACAGGCATCGTCCATGATTTTCATTTTAATTAGAATGTTTGCCTCAGAAAAAAGCACTTTTTTTTCTCTATAAATTGTTCTTCATTTCGTGAAGATTAAAGTTTTCCTTTTTTTTTTAAATTTCTTTTCTTTTGGTATCAAAACTATTTTACAATGAGTCAACGTTTACAATTTAATGATCTGTATGGATTATTGCATTATTTTATGATTTTCACATATTATGGTAAATATAATAGGATTGTTTTAAGGATTATAATCCTTAAAAAAGAATTGTATAAACAATTGCAGCAATATGTGGCCTCCAGACAAGAGCGAGATTAAGATTCTTAAGGCTCGAGGCTAAAAATCTTTAAGGGCCGTCGTGGTTACTTAAAACTTGCTTCAAAAATTGAAATTAAATGGCATTCAATTGTAAAGAAAAATAATAATCTGCAAAGGATTATTTTGGGAAATATATATTAATAATTTAATGATTTAAAAAATTTAAATGAAGAGGATTCAGTTTCATAATAGCAAAATGATCCAAATTTTACAAAATTATAGTGAATTTCAAAATTTGAAATTTTTTGAATTGTCGTCATTAAATGATGAAAAATCGTTAAATCATCATTATGAAAAAATCATTAAACAATTATTATGAAAAATTATTCGATCATCAAATCACAATTATGATAAATCATTAAATAATCATCATATGACGAAGATTTATCAAAATTGAAACGAGCGGATTTATTTTTACAATAGCAGTTGAGTCAAAAATTTGCAAGATTATAGTAGATTCGAAGCTGTAGAATTTTTTGACATACATAGTTAATGAAAGTCTTAAAACGGGGTGCGGGACTACAGCCCCCCTTAAATCTCATTGATCCGGCACAACTCACATGTTACAAGTTGCTCATCAATGATTTAAATATTTCAGTTTGTTGTTTAATGTGATGATAATTAGTTATGAAAATGAGGAGAAATAATCAGGTATGGAAAGTAGTCGCATGTGATGAAATAAAATCTGTAAAATGAGAAGCGAAACATAATAAAATTTGTATAGTAGCAGATCAAATTTATTGATCAAAAGTAATTAAATGGTAACGACATAATAGAGGTTGTAAATTGATATTTGGGTTTTAATTAGAGCTAACTGTAATTAGTTTCGAAGGGTAACGAGGAAATGACAGGAATGCAAAGTGGGTTGATGAATGTGATGAAATAAAATTTGTTGAAAGATGCTAGAATTAACACAGAAAGTATTTGTAAACATGAACGATCTAAAATAATGGTCTATTAATTAATATTAAGAAGATTTCATCACGTATAACATCTAATTTAATAAACTCATCGCTGAGAAAGGTTGCGATAATTATAAAATCAAACAGAAATTCTACGA